GACAAAATTGGGTACCACACACCCTCCTTTAAATGTCTTGATACTGCCTGCTTCCTTCAGTTACATTTTAGACAATGCCTTGTTTCCAGTAGTTGCAATAAGATTCCTTTGCTAGTCTGCTCGGTTTTTGAATATGGAATGAGTAGGAGAGGCATTTTGTTATTCCTTGTCAGTGAAACGTTTCAAGACCAGCCTTGCTCCCAACATCATCTTTTGGGATATCTCCTGTATCCAGCATATAGGTGGACAGAATGTTAGACTAGAACTCAGAGGAACTGGATTAAAATCCCTGCTTGGCCATGGAAAGTCACTTGTGATGGGGTAGCAGTGGTAAACCACTCCTTGAACATCCCACATACTTCAAATGACCTGCAAGGCTTGTTGAAAGTCAAAAGGTACTTAACAGGTACAAAAAGGTACAAAACAAATGTTTTGCACATGTCCTGTTAAAATATGCTCTTCTTTCCTCTGCATTCAATGTGAGTGGGCTAATCTGAAGAGCAACCCTTTTGCCTTTCTTCTAGTGTCATTGTAATCTTTCTTCTAGTGTCATTGTAGTCCATCCTTTCTGAGGATAAGTGAAGGTCAGCCCACTTTCACCTGACTTCTCTTACGCCCTTGCATCTTTGCCTTCATGGGGGATGTCATGTCCTCAAAGGCCAAGTGCCATGAGCTGGGAAGCTCCACATTAAAGAAGAGGCAAAAATAGCCATATAATCCATGCATAGCAACAAAAGTCCAGGGTGAGCTATAAATTTGTTGAATCACTAAAAAGATACAAAAGAGGGGGCTTTTCAAGTGCTCCAGCACAAAGAACTTCCTGCCCCCCACCAAATGTGGCAAGATGTTTTCGCTCCCTTCTTGAAAGCCATTGGCAAACTAGAGTGAAGACTGTCATTCCAGCACAAAAGAAATGTGTCTAGATATCAGTTTACAGTGTCCCACCCCCACCCCACTCCAGACAGGAAGCTTATTTGTAAAGAGGAACATTACATTTAGTTGCCCCACTGGGTTAAAAAGTCCATTAAAAAGCTAAACCAATAATCATAATTAGACATATTGGTTGAATGATACAGAACTCTCTGAAAAAAACTTTCTCTGGAGTGGGATTTTTATAACAGCTATGCCTGAAGAAGAGATGTAAACAACCCAAAGAGCCTATCTTATTTGCAACCTTTGGGGAGTTCCAGGCCCAGCCTAGATTTTCTCCCCAAATTCAACGCGTCCTCACCCTCGGTGTTGAGTTTAGCTGACAATTCTGTACAAGTTATCCAAGCTGGCTCTATGTAACTAGGAGCGTTGGCCTTTTGGAAAATTTGTTTTGGGGGAGCATTTGTTACAAAATTCTGAGAGTCATAATCCAAAAAAATAACTTTACCTCTTAGCTACGCTCACCTCCCCCCCCCCCCC